CTTTATCAGGCAGCCTAAGCCCCTGAAAAGACTGCTTTTATACAAGCGCAGAGAACTGCTGCTGCGACTCCTGAGTTCCGATGAATTTTAGAGGTCTCAGGTTCTCAAGTACGGATATTTGGTTTGGACTACAGGCAAAAACTGTCATCCTGACTATATTTGGACAGAAAAACATTCCTGGCTTTGGTTTCTGCACAGTCTAAAAGCAATGGAACACATTACACTTTGAGGGAATCCATATGCTGTAATGGGGAATAGGAAAGGAAGGCAGAGGACAGAACTGACTTTGCTTTGTCTTCTTATCTTCAGCAGCAGTGACCAGGACCAGGATATCATTTGTATGGAGCTGTGGTTTTCCAAGCAAACAGTCAGGGATGTATATCCCAAGATCTCTGCATGCAATTAATGTCATATGAAAAAGCAGGCTCTAAACAGCTGTCAGAAGGGAATGAATGTTGCATAAGACCTACAATGGTCAACTAGAGACTATGGAGAACATAAAAGACTGGATCATGTGCACAATGCAATACCCTTTCCTTGTTAAATCACCTCAGCCTTGCTTTGCTCTTTTCAGCCTTAATTGCTGAAATGCTTCATTTAAAGCGGGGCCGCTGTATAACGCACAACATATGGCTACATTCCCAAGGGCAAGTTTCAGCTCAAAAATAAATACTTTCTCACTTCCATGGATCATTCTTATCATTTCTCTCCTCCCCTTTATTCAGCATTGTTAACATTAAATGTTACTTTCAGCACTATTTCTAATTGGTTCTCTCTGCTACATGTGCCACATTTAAGAGGAAAGTTAGCCCTGGTGCAGCAGGCCGGGAAGCACACTGGCACCGCTTCATCCATGCCGCTGAGATGACGCAAGAACAATCCATTACAGCCTATCTACACTCGTGCTAAGACACGCTACACAGAGAACAACTATTCGTGCTAGAACTGCAGCTGTCCAAGTATCCAAAATGAATCTCACTTCTCATGAAACCTCTTATTTATTCACGGATTAAGTGCGTTATTATTCAGCATTGGAACAAACTGCTCTCATTAGCTTCCCCCGTCATGAACTGGGAGTTCTACACGGAGGTGGGGAAGACAGGGAAAGAAGGAGGACCTAACATCTGATCGTGCCTGACAGCTCAAGGCATGAGCATCAGCATTTCATCTCTAGGGCACCAGTCCAAATCCAGGCCACAGGGGAGGGGGGTGCACGCAGCTGAATGTGATTTAGCACATATTGGCTCCTTGGTGGCCCACGTGAAAAGAATTAGCAAATCCTCATATAGCTCTTATTTTAAAATAAGTACTTACATATTTATCCCTTCATCTTCTCACAACTTGGGGGGAAAAAAAAAAACAACCCAACATTCTTGTATGGTTCCTGTGGGAACGGCAGTTAAAACTCGTACTTTTTCAGTGGGTCATGGACTAAAAAGGATTCTATCTGCTGTAGCAGGGAGCAACACTCCCCAGGGAGGAGGAGAATAAGAATGTTCTTTAGTCCCCAAGCATTCTCCCACTTTCTATCGTGCAACCCCTCGTGATCAGCATCTGCTGATGTTCCTAGAAAAATCCATGGTCTGCTGAATAGCAAATGAGCTGAAAACAAGGGCTTGCTCCAGCTGGCAAAGAAAACGGAATATTTTGCTTAACTGTCAATTTGGAGCTGCAGCTCACAGAAGTGCCTGTACTGGCCTGACCTTGCGTTACCAAAGAGACATGGTCTTGACCCTGCTCAGAAGCTCAGCAGTCCAGTCATGGCCACGTAGCGAGTAGAATTTCAGGAATGAAATGAGGGAGAAATTTTTCTCAATACACGGATAATAAAGTGTGTCCATAATGGAATAAGAATTGCTTCCCTGGGTGGGGATATTTTTGTTGTTGCTCTTTGGTGGGCTGTACTAATAATCTGTAATCCATCTGTGGATGGACCAATCTTCCTGAAATCCTAGGAGCAGCATGGACTAGTGGGAACATAATCAAAGGAGAGACGGGTTCTTCTCCTGACTCTGCCTTTTGACAAGCGATCTCCCTCTCTCTACTCCCTCAGTCTCCTGCTGTCTGTAAAATGCAGAGTTTTGGCCACACTTCCAAAGGAAATGCTTTAGAAACCCTGGTTCTGAGTATGAGATAAGCTGCTGCCTTGTATTTCAAGTTTTACACCAGAAAGACTCAGCAAGATCTTTCCCTTTCAAAACTATTGCTGTACATTGCTGCAAGGTACAGAGCTGCATTTCAGGAGACAGCAGAAGCCCCAGCGAAAACAAGGAGCTCCCCAGCTCATTTGCAGAAGACCTGTCAGTCTCATTTGTGGGAGGCCAACTGGTAATAAACATCAAGCAGAAAGTTACTATCCACACTGATTAACTAATGACAATATTTGTCTTTCATCTACTTTGCCTACTGCTCTGACATCTCCTTGCCTCTCTTCAGCCCCTTGCTGTTCCTCTAACCAGCAAGAATACCAACTGGTAGCAAAAGGAGAAAGGGGAGGAACATTCTCCCCCACCTTGCCCCCTCCTTTCCTATCTCATAATCTCCAGCTAAATTTAAGCAGCTCCTAATCTCCGTCTAGGCTCTTGGCTCTTTTCCTGCTTACTACAGGTATCATCTTCTTCTCATACTTCAGATTCAAGCCCGGATTGGAGCAGAGAAACTATTTTGCAGGCTGAGAGTACAGGCCAGAACACACGAACTAGACGAACTAGCAAGTACACAAAGCAAACCATTTCACCCAGCGCGGCACTCAATCGGCCACAAGTCACTGATCCTGGCTCGCCATGTAAGCAGGCTTATCAGGAAAAGTGAAACAGCGGAACCTCCTTCACTTCTCTAAAGCCTTAGAATCCCACGAAGCTGAGCCTGTCACAGTGGGCAAAGCTTGCCCCGAACGTACCTGGCACATGCGGGCATCTGCCTGCCTTCTGTTATCTCTTGTTCCTGTGGCTCCGCCAACCATCTTGTTTCTTCTCTCTTGCGGTGCAGCAATTCCCTTCTTCTTACTAGGAAAATGAAAGGGTCAAAAAGGTGCTTAACAGCTCAACTCTTGCTCCTCAGAAGCAATCACAGCAGGAACAGGGAAATGAAAGAATATACTCCCAAACTGAACGCTATGTTTACGAACCGTTTCTGTAGTTCTTAAGCAGGTATACTATGCTGTGCAAAATTCCATCTCTAATTTGGCCATACAATGAATTTCAGATATGAAAACAAGATCAGGAGATCTTGAAATGGAACTTGCATTTTAAAAAAATTAAAACATAAAATTGAGGGGAGCTCTTCTTCCCCTACACAATCTCTTTTCATTAGCCAGAAAAAAAACCAAACAACCCACCACATCTCCATTTTCTGCAACAGCTGCACAGCTTGGAAGTCGAAGGCTGCAGTCTTCCTACAATTGTTTTTCCTTTAGGGAGAATAATCACTTGGAAGCCTCTCTTCATTTAGTATCCAAAGAAATTATTAAAAAAATGAAGCAGATGCTCCCTATTGTTTTTCCCTGAATAAAGTGACACCTTAGGCGTAAGAGATGAGAATAACAGAACAGATATTGGATAATTTGCCACCTCTGTCCCTTCTTCCCCAAGTGCCAGCATACATATACATTTAACACGCATGATGAAGTATCGACCCGTTTTACCTTCAGTAAACTGGTTTTGGATTTATGTAGAGGCTTGTGAAAGAACTGTATTTCAAAAAACACTCAGCATGGGTTTGGGCTAATATATAGTGGTTAAAGCAGTTCTTTACATTATAAAGATGGCTCAGCCTTGTACTTTTTGAAAATAGCCTTTTCACAGTACTTTTCTATTGCTGCCCTACCACAACACAGCAAGTATCAGCTTTAGGTTATTCGGGTGTTAAATCTAACCCAAACTAATAATTTAGGGGTTAAATCTGATCCATCTTCATAGCTCAAGAAAAATCCACTGAAACTATAACAGCCTCAAGTGAATATTTTGACAAAGATTACCCATAGGAGTCAGAGGTTGTGACACAAGGCTTTCTCACAACACCAAGGGATTACAAAGAAGTAATAAATATTCCTGGAACTACCTTATATTCCACAAAGTTAAAAAGGTCTTTAAAAGATTTGCCACCTCTTTGCTAATGAACAAAGATAGTAGAGGAACACAATATTTTTGTTTGTTTTAAATATTGCTTGCAATATGTAACAAACAGTATGCTTGTGTATAATTGTGTCATTAAAGATATACACCACACACGCAAACACGTAGGTATACATACACACACGCACGGCACACTAGCCCTACAGGTTGCCATTTCCACCAACAGTTATTTTACAGGATGGACTCAGCAGATAATATTTCTTCAGTCAGACAGTTGGAAAACACAATACAGTTGAATCCATATTTCAGCTACTGTTTGTACATTCATTTTAATGCTCAGGAAAATATATATTTTATTTTATTAAGTTTTTCTGCAAAACAAAGAAACAAAAATGAAATCCCTTTTTTTCATATCTTAATTATTACTATTTATTTTCTTTACACTTTGATTGGCGTATTTAACACCTGCCTTTGGCATTATGGATAGAAAGCTCAGAAGTCTCTGAAACACACGGTTTGAAAAAAAAAAAAAAGGAAGAAGAGTGTCACTTAGAGGTTAGAAATATTTGTCATAACAACATGTTTTCTCCAATCAGTGTTCACTACTTTATCTCTAAGGCACACACTCTGTCTTTAGGATCTCATTACATCCAGATTTGCCTTTGTCAGTCCAAGTTCTTGTTGAACCCACAAGTACTTGTTCAGAGAGCATGCTGTCTTAGGACATCACCTCCCTACCACTGACAGGCATCTGGGAGAACTGACGCCATGACTGGTCTCCTCTGTTATCTCCTCACGTGAAGCGCAAGCATATGCTTTCCTATCGCCTGCCAAGGTATAAGGTATATCCTCCTACAGCATCTCCTTTCAGAGCAGTGCAAAGCCACAAATCCGACACTGCAGGGCACCAGACATGATGCAGTCGCTGGAGTTGGATGCCGTTGAAAACATCTGCACATGGAAGTCTATTCGCCTCTGGTCTGAAAGTCTCTTCTGCCTTCAGTAGACAGGTCAGTGTTCTTTACTTCAGGTTGTTTCTGATGGATCAGCAGCACAGGGTGAGGGGGCTGCCTGCCCTCCAGCACTGCTCCTTGGCCTTATGACATTGTAAGGAGAGGGGACTCCCCTCCACCTCCACCCAAGTCACATCACTTATTTGCTTCCCTCTCTTTCAGGATGGCTTTGCAGGTAGCCAAACACATCAGCCTGACTAGCGCTTCTCATCTAAAATGCAAACAAAAAGGAAGTAAAGGAGGGAGGTGGGAATGGGAAGGGAAGCAAGCATATCCTTAGACAAAGATCTGAATCCTCTCCCGGATAGCCTGCCGGCAGATGGGGCAGACAGTAAGGGCTGTGCTGCAGTCTGGGCAAGAGCCATGTCCACATTGGAAGACCAGTTTGATTTGGTCATCGATGCAAATAGGGCAGGTGATGCGCTCTTCCATCTGCCGGTAGCGGTTCTGCAGCTCCTCCATGAGCTTCCTCTGATCTGTGGATTCAGAGCTTGGGCTGCACTCCACCTCGGTGCTGTCTGCAGGGGTGGAGAGCAGGAAGAGAGTTAGTCACTAGTGTGCTCTGCCTCACGCAGTGTCTCTTTAATTAGACTCTGCCCCTCAAGAGTCGCAATTAGTTCAGACTAAACTCTCTTCACTGAGCCTTATCCAGGGATTCCTCAAATAAAAAGCCTGAGATGATGCTTTTTACAGACTGGCCAGTGTTGCCTTCCTCCATTTAGTTGCTCAGCTGGTTTGTGCGTGCGTGTGTTTTTGTTTGCGGTGGTTTGGTATTTTTTAAAGGAAACAAAACGTTGTCTAAAATATCCTGCCTTGGTGTTCTGCAATATGCTGCTGCTACCTTCAAGTAAACATTCAAAGCTGGTCGTGATGTTCTGCCATACTAGTCCAGGAGTCCTTACAGTGCTGTCAGTACTATGTTCTCTCAACCTCCTGTTCATATTTGGGATTCAAATTTCTGGTTAAGTCTTTCAGGACACGCATGGTAAAACAAGAATAAACCATTTGATGTCGCTTACGTTGACTTTTGCACACATGAAGCTAGACAAATAGAGTCATTTGGCCAACTCTAGGAAATCGAAAGAACCCCAAATCCTGGACAACTGCCAGCTTAGATAAATAGATGACTCCTGGTTTCAGCTTAATAGAGCCACTGTTCATCTTCTGCTCCTCAATCTTTGATTAGGTAGTGTTACACTTCAGTATAGATGTCCCTCTCCCCAACATTCTGGAATTAGTTGCACTTCAGTGGTGCAAGAAGTGATTTCAAATCCATAAAGGTGAAGCAAGTTTGGGGACGGGGAGCTTGCTAAAGACAAACACTGAAGACATCACTGATAGGGAAGGCCTGCTGATATTCTCAAGAGACCTTGGTTTTCTTTCTCCAGTGGAAATCTGCAAGCAAATGTCTCATTTGGAATTCTCATCACTATTTTGTTGCCAGTTTGTAGCAAAGACAAATGTGCCTGCCTACTGACAGGTAAGCTTGCTATTTTTTGCATTATGGAGTTCCAAAGAGGATTTCTGTCTTTGCCAGCTGTGTATGTCCAATGCCACGTGACAGATTCTTGGCTCCCCTATGCTTTTGTCCAGGCATCAAGTCACAAGACTATAGCCTGACTCCAACAAAGGAGTCCACAATGCTAAGCCATGAGCAGTAGGACATGGAATTCATTTTCATGTGCACTTGCCGTAAGAGTTATCTCAGCTAGAAAGACATCAACTCTCACAACCGCTGTGGAAAAAGCTTCAGTGGGGAACCTGCATTAATTCTAGGGCATGTGCAAACCTGCTACTAGCTTGCTGATATGCGTAACGTTGCCCATTCTGGACGCTAACATGGACAGAAGACAATCTGTTTGAAACTGGGCTAAAGAGCTTTATCAAAAGAATCCAGCTCAGTGATTCCTGGATAGCTGGCTAATGCCAGCCCTGCATAGGCACTGTAATTTCAGCCAAGGGAGAAGCAAGGCTTTCACAACACGTAATTTTTCCTTTCTTGCAAATTTTCACTGTTAAATCACTGCCTGTGAAAATGGTTAGACTGACACATGGAGAACCTGATACTTGCTTTTAATACACAAAATAAGCCAGGCACAGGACAAGCTTCCTCAAATGTCCTGTCTATGCAGCTTGAGCTTGGCCCATGACACCTGAGAGAATCTACCTTTTCCTCTCTAAAGGTGGTCAATGCAACAGGCAATCCTCCCCCCTCAAAAAAAACGCACCCCAACAACAACAACAAAAATCAACTCCCTTTCTTATGCTTATTTCACTGAAAATCATTGATGCTGCTCAAACTAATGCTGTGCAGGACCCTTCCCACAGCACTTAATGGTAGGAACAGCAAACATACCTTGTTTCAGTTTTTTGGTTATTGTCACTTGACATTTGATGCACTTCTTCATTCTCCTGGAGCATTCTACCATGAATGATACAAGAAGAGATTACAATTAAGCCCACTGATGCCAAAATCAAGAGGAAGACAACAGACTCAAAAACATCAGCTTTGAACAACCTGAGATCTGCCTGGATGATTAAGAGATTGTTTCTGCACGGAAATGAGGACACTACCTTCTCTTTGAGCTACGTCCTAGTCTCTTGGTTTAGTCTTTCCTACGCCAGTAGCAAATACAACACCTTTATGTTCTCAGTGCTCTGTGCTACTGGACCTGCTGCACTGTGGATCATAACAGCCCTTTGCTCTGAGGGGAAAGGATGTGGCTCAGGCACACATTCCTTACAAACTCCCAGCGGTCAGACTGTGAGTGCCTTGTGAGATAACAAACTTGCTGACATGGTTGAGCAGGCTGCCATTAAAACAATTGAAATGCAAGCCAGTAACAAAAGCCAGAGAAGAGGGAAATCCTTCTCAGGAGGTTTTCGACAGAAAAAGTGCTGCCAGCTAGAACTGAAACGTCTGGCTTTCCTTCTGAATTATCCAGGGCATCTACAAGCACAAGCAAAGCTGCCTGGGGTCCCAGTCAGCAGGTGGTCAGAACACTCTGTGCTTTTCGCAGATAGCTTTGGATATCTTATCTAAGATGGTGATGCTGAAATCACACTGGGATTGTTTTAGGACACAACCAGCACAATAGCTTTGTGTCTAAACAGAGCTTGATTTATGACAGTCCAGCTAGGGAAGCTATGTGGCAGAACAGGAAAGAAAGACTAAAAAAAAGGAAAAAAAACCCAGAATGGACTTACCTTCACACACAATACTGTGCTGGCATGGGAAGAAATGGATGAGCAAGGCCAGCTCCGAGCAGACCAGGCACTCTGTGGGGACCGCCACACTCGAGACACTAAGGTTGGTCATTGTGTTGGGGGTGGTGTGCACACGGCGAAGGCTGCAGGTGATGGCTGAGCTGTCTGAAGAAACCTGCTGTTCCCTGCAACCATGAACATGTAATAACATTTGAGCTGCATACTCCAGAGGTCCTCCTTCAGCAACCAGGTAACATTGGACTGATCCCTGGCAAACACTCCACATGGAGGCAGAGCCACAAATGCTCAGGCAGCATAAACCTGTGAACCCCCACTGCCCTAGCAGGACCAGCTCAGCCTCTGCTGGGATTCTGACTGGATCTATCTAAACAGAAAGGCAAAGAGCAGGGATGACTAATACTTACACAAGTTGAAACTGCTCTTTTGGAGGGCAACAGTAAGATACTGACAGTACAATCATCTGCTGGGAGGAGTCAGCTTTTAGGAGCTATTTAAAAAGTGCAGCCCTAAGGATCCTCCGTATTTCCAAGTTCCTGAAAAATGCTTGGGGTGGTTGTTTGTGAGTTTGCCTCTTACATAAGGACAAGAGGAAATAGGCTCAAGCTGCGCCAGGGGAGGTTTAGGTTGGATATTAGGAAAAATTTCTTCACGGAAAGGGTAGTCAAGCATTGGAACAGGCTGCCCAGAGAGGTGGTGGAGTCACCATCCCTGGAAGCGTTCAAAAAATGGGTAGATGTGGCACTTTGGGACATGGCTTAGTCTAGTCTACCCTTGATTGGTTTAGTGAGGACTTGGTAATGTTAGGTTAATGGTTGGACTGGATGATCTTAAAGGTCTTTTCCAACCTAAATGATTCTATGATAATACAGACTCAGATTCAGTCTTCTGTCCTGGCATCATGAGCCGCAAATCCAAAGCCCTCGGCATCACCCATCCATTACTTCTCCTGCCAGCTGGTCATCTGCTAGCTAGACCTACTACCTAAACTGCAAGAATGATTAATGAGTGAACAGAAGGGACAAGGGTGGTCGTTCACTAGCAAATGTCTTCAGTACTGCCAAGAAATCACTGGCCCACTGGGAGTATTGCAAAAGGGTGCTTTTTGGTCTTTTGATACAGTCAGTAAGTTTCTGGGAGGAAACTGCTCTCTAGCTTCCTACCGAAGTGGCAATAGCTTCATTATAAATGCATATAAACCCCAGATACTCTTCTTCTTCTAGACCTATTAACTTCAGTCAGACTAACCAAGCAGCTTAAGAAGGTATAAATAACTATCCTGTCCTGACAGCTCCTGCGTGCGATGCTGGGACACACCATGGTATGCTTAGGCCTGTGATCTAGCACGCAGCACTCGCGCTGCAGTGGTTGCCTTAACTCTGCAGACACCGCCCCAAATCCTCCAGCCAAACCTCAGCACAGGAGCTGAAACCAGTACACTGTTATGAGAAATGTCGGTCTGAAAGAACTGGCATTCTTTAAGAAAAAAAAAAAACTTAATCCAACATATACTCCACTAACAAAATTCCTACGGAAGATGTTTAATGGGACACTTTTCACCTCTTCTTTACAGTGGACCAGCAGCATGGCCAATTACAGCGGCTGCTGCATGGTTCCTCCTCCAGCGGTAACGTGACTGTGGGTCTGTGCCCTCAGATCAAACAGAACTCTGCTTTCATGTTTGCAGAGTCAAAATCCAAACAAGTGCTTCTTAGAACCTGAGATAAAGCCATCTTTGACTTGCTACTCTCCCTTTGGTGTTTTCTCAGCTATTTCTCTTATCAGCTGAAAAACAAGCATTTACCTAGCTGCAGAATAAATTCTGCAGATTCTGATGCCCACTCTTTTGTTGCACTTCCTCTCTTTTCAGACTTTAAATATCTGTAACTGCAGAATCTAATGAAAGCAAAAACTACTCTGCGAGGAGTTGCTCTTGGCTTCAGTGTCCAGGCTTCTCAGACTACCTCAGGGCTCTCTGTAAGTCAAGAGGCCGAGTTTGCACTGAGCAGTATTAATCCGCTTTTCTCAACTCTGTCAAATGGCAGTATGCACCCTTAAATAACCCCTCCAGAAACACAGGGTCAGCAACCAGCTCCAGATGAAACAGGAGGTGCTCAGACTAACATCCAAAGTGTTTCAAAGATGCTTCAGCCCTCCTGGAACAAAAGCTGCATGCAGTTGACACTACAGTGCTGTGGGGAGCACTCTGCATTTTGCAAGGAAGTATACTATAGCTAGTTTCCAGAGGACATGGCTTACCTGAATTTCTGTGAGAAGTCTTTGATGATCTGGATGATCCTTCCATCTGTAATGAGGTCTAAAGGTGTCTTTCCCCGATGGTTTGCATAATTAATATCAGCTCCTTCTTGCGCTAAGTAACATGCAATAGCAGTTCCAACATTCAGCTCTACATTTCCAAGAAAGCCAGAAGCCTGCAGCTAAAAGATGTTGAGAAACACTCTCTGTTAATAGAAAAAGCTTCTGTAATGTGGCTTTGATCTGTATCAAGTTCTAAACAAACTCTTAATTCTGGTACTTATAATTTGAAAGTGTAGTTTGGCATTCTTTTTTGAAAACACAAAAAAGATTCTTCAGCATGTAAATAGTAGATTAAAATCTTGCATTCCAAGAACAAGAGTGCATAAGCCTGGTCCTAACTGGTGCTAATCATTACTAATCATAGTAACAGGCATTCATGTCTTCAGGCAGTGAAAAGGAAGCACACTGAAGACACCAGAGTATGTAGCAATTGATGAACAGCTGGTGCATGGAGCCGTAAGCGACAGCTATTTAAAAACCCAAGTTTTTGTGTACATTATCCAAACTAATTTGAAGTCAACAAACATTTTCCACTGACTTAAAATACAAGGGCATGTAGATCAGAGCAAGTAAAATTAGATGTGAAGGAGTCTACAGCATCTAGATATAATGTTACTGTAAATAGTATCAGGAATGACATGCACAGATCCCTCATGTTGCTTTAAGACTTTCTGCGTCCAGGACTAGCTATTGGCTGTCCCTAGCACAAGCAGCTAGCAAAGCTGTTCTGCAGACTTTCAGTAAGATGATAAAACCACCCTTGCTGCTGGCCCCTCTGCTTGACTTTGCAGGCAGAGAAATTCAGAAGAAAGAAGCGATTGCTGAGCTGGTGTGGAGTGTCTCTGTGGAATGTCAGTGGCTCGAAAAGCCTGAGGACCTGAGGCTACAGCATCTTTGGCCACGCACTTGAGCCATCAACTCATTCTATCCACACTGGCAGCTTCGTAACGAGCAGAACAGAAGAGCAGCAATGCACTAGGCTTTTTCAAGCACCAACAGGTAGAAAGGAGGAATGGGTGGTTTGGCACACAGCATGCAGCCTTTCAGAACGTCGGTTTAATTTATTCTGAACATTTCAAATTACAATAAAAAAACCTACGCCAGATTTTCCAGTGTATTAAGTTATCCCTACAATTGAATCATTCTCACTCCATCCATAAAGTATAACCAATGTTTGCACTCTTGGTTTGCACTGTAAATCTGGTGTGTGCACATGTTGGTATTTACACGGATGGCAGAACACTTTGAAGGGGTAATTTAGTATCTTTGCCAAAAAGCCAGACTAAGCTTCCAGTCCTTGGCATATCAGGCACTGATTTCTAGATCAAAGGCCTTTCCTGAAAGGTCTTAAATATCCATGAATATGGAGCAACACAGTGAAATCCAGCTCAGGCTTTGTAACAACATAGCCTTTATCCTTCAGCCTGATATGTCTCACCTCTCACGTTCTGCTCTACATCTGCAGATAACTGGGGTGTTTGCGGTTAGCTATCCTCATATTTTCCAGGCCATCAGACAGAAATGAATTGCTGTGGTTCTGGGGCATGAATTAAACCCAGGACTCTTGGCTCTGTGACTGGATTCATGACCTTTCCCATGTCAAGAAAGAAATGCACAATGCTAATAAAAATATCACGGGAGACAGTATGAATTGTTGTCTGACTATGTGAAGTTTCATGCTATAAATTCAAGCATACCCTCGGAGGCCTCAGAGGATCTATTCTTGCTTTCCCACAAGCAAGAAGGTTTGTTTCCACACTCCCCATCTGGACTGGCTTTATGCAGTTTCCCTCCTTTCCTTTGCACCCTTAGGTCCCACTATCTGCTGTCATTCTAACATCAAGCATTTTCCTGCCCTTGGTGCTGGAATTTCTCCTACTCCCAGCTCACCTTGGAAAGAAGGGACAATCCCATCTCCCCTTCGTGCTTCTCCATCATGAGGGACATTAGCTGCTGCCGTTCCAAGGCAATGTGCATGGCTGTGTCCCCATCCTCATCTTCAGCATTGACATCACTGCCTTCACTGACCAGCAGTTGCACCATCCCTACGTGTCCCTGGATGACAGCCAGGTGCAGTGGTGTCTGGTTACGGTTGTTCTTGAGGTTGACATCACAGCGACCCTTGAAGAGAAGAATTGCATCAGAGTGAGTTGTTACTGCTGAGTTTGGCTGAAGGAGAGTGCTGCAGCTGTGGTGCTTGTTGAGGCCCCAGGTCTCAAGTCCATCTTTGTCAGGACAGCAGTATAGAGGTCTCCAAGAGAGCTACGTGATCCAGCCCTCTGTATCTTAGCCATATGGCCCACACACCTCAAACATCACAAAAGGGAGGATCGGAAGCCAAGTGGCCAACTGACACACAGATAACATTTTTCTGGTGAAGACTTGGATATGACAATTTGTCACTTTCCTGACACAAACAAATCCTGGAATTACTCCAAGCAAACAGTCATGGACTAACTCCTCCAAAGCAGTATTGATTCCTTGCTGCCTGTTCTGTTTTGATTTCCCCTCTTCAGAGCAAAGAGGAGAAAAAACTGTTCCCATCTGATTCATTCTGCCCCTCTGCCAAACCTGCAGGGGAAGGCAGCAGCAAGGGTTAGAGACAGAGAGCCTTTAAAGATATGGCTGCGCTAATGCAGCGATTATGCCAGAAATAAAGCAATCATAGCACTAAGGAGTTGGTGCTCACAGATATCGCTCCTCTACAGCACTCATTTGGAAATCCATTAAAGCCTTGTTGTAGTGGTTTGGATCCACTTGTAAAGATGGAGAAACTCAGGCAACAAACCACTGAGAAGAAGAAACAAAACCCGGGAGTGCTGACATGTAGTTGTCACCCTCATTGCCACTATCACCTGAAAGCCGAGACAGAGGCTAGCTTTGACTCCACAAAAATCAACAGCAAAATGCCAGTTAGATTGCCATCCTTCAGTTTGTTATTTTCATGGCTAAAGGATGCTGCTCACCACGGGCAGGTCTAGTACTCACTCAAGACAGAAGAAAGATAAATAACCTGGAGTAAACATGTCAAAATATTTTGTTCGGCATTCAAATGAAATGCATGCCTTCAGATATTCTTTCATGAAAATGAAGAGTGAGAAACCCACCATAGAAAACCAGTAGCTGGGGAGCTTCAGTGTACACCCGGAGTGAGGGAAACTGAGCTCTGACCTATACCTAATGAGGCAGGCAAGGTTCTGAACACAGATCTACACGCTCCTTAATGAGCAGGTTACCAGCTATTCTGAAGTCTTTGCCCTTCATACCCATCACTTCACTGAACATTTCCCAGCAGGCTCCAGTTCCAACCCACTTTGTTCTAGCCTGCAAGATACCCTTCTCCTGCCAAAGG